AGTGATTGGAAGCTCTGTCCCTCCGCGGGCCACTGGGCCTTTTCTGTCGGTGGTCACAGTTCCGCCTACCTGGCAGGCGCGGGGGGTGGGGGGCGGCTCTGCCCCTCAGCAGGCCGCTGCTCCTCTTCTGCTGGTGGGTCGCAGGCCCGCCTACCTTGCAGGAGTGATTGGAAGCTCTTAAGATTTTAAATGTCATTTTCAAATGAGAATATGAAATCAAGTGAGGACAATTACTTGTCTTGAATTTTTTCTTGTCAAATTTATAACTAGCATATCAACTTTAGTTTGACAATTATTGTGAAAATAAAAGACTACTGGGTGAACAAAATTTTGTTTTTTCTTTCTTTCTTTCTTTTTTTTTTTTTTTTTTCTGATACAGGGGATTGAACTCAGGGGCATTTTACCACTGAGCCATACCCTCAGACCATTTTATTTGTTATTTTGAGTCAAGGGTCTTCCTAAGTTGCTTAGGGTCTCCCTAAGTTGCTGAGGCTGGCTTCATACTTCTGGTCCTCCTGCTTCAGTCTCCTGAGCTGCTGGGATCACAGGCATGTGTCACAGTGCCCAGTTAAAATTTTAAATTTTTAAAAATGTACTAACCAAAAAATTTAAAAGTATTTATTTTCAATATTAATTGTCAAATGATATCTGTCAGTTTAGGGAGAGATGGTTATTAGAAGAGACACAAGACTGCATAGTTCACAGCAACAATAAAATTCCCTAGCAGGTTAAGAGTCAAAGGCATCTTCAGAGAAGGAATTCTAGTAATATAAATCAGAAATGGGTGTCCTCGCACAATAGTCTACAAAGCACTGAATAATCTAGTTCTCTGCTTCCATTTGACGTCGCTATTCCTGCTTCTCCCCTTTTTCTTCAGCCATACTCCTTGCTGTTCCTTATACACTTCATTCACAGGTCCCCCTAAGCACCTTTGAACCAGCCATTTTTTCTCTCTCCTTTGGCTAACACCCTCACCTCTTCCTAGTCTTTATTTACTCACTTCAGTGAGGCTGTGTCCTTACAGATTCCCCTCTACCTACCCTGGTATCCGGATCTTTCTTACTCTGCTCCTTCTCCTACTTCTACAGTGCCTACTACCTTCTAATATAATATATAATATACCAAGTATTTCATGGCTTGTATTTTCTCTGTGTCCCTTTTGTTTTGTTCACCAACATATTGCAAGTCCTTAGAACACTGGTACATAGTTCTCAGTTGACATTTGTTTACTTCATTGAATCACTTCATTGACTAAATCAGAGGGACCAGCATTAAACACACACACAAAAAAATGTGATGGCTCTATACTGAAAAATAGCACACTTCATAGTATGAAGAGAGAGTTGTTTTGGTTATGTAGTTGTATTTTTACAAAACATCTCCAAATGTGTGACTAATAACATATTATCTCTCACAGTTTTGAGATAGGCTCAGATGAGACGTTCTCAGTTGAGGTCCCTCGGATGTACTGTCTGATGGTGGCTGAAGTTGAAGTCATCTGAGGGCTTCTTCATTCACATGATTGATTCCTGAGCTGGGAGCAGAAAAATGGGGGATTGGTCCAGTATCTTTTTCTCTAAGTGGCATCTCTATTTGACCAACTTTGGCTTTCTCACTGCATGGTGGTAGTTATGATTTCTTAAAAGGCAGCTGAATTACCTTGAGCAAGTATTTCAAGCCCAGGTGACAGCTTCAAATCTTATCATTTCCTTAGAAACCTCAAAACCATGTTCCACATTTGAGATGGGAATGTCACATGCACACACAAGAGGGGAAGGAATTGATCATGTCTACCTTAAAGACAAGCTACCATAAGGCTTGTGAACTCATGAACTTGCAGACAAAATGAACTGTCAGCAAAGTTTATGGAAATATTTAGGATAAGCAACAAATGAATGATAATAATATCTGGTCAGATTGCCAAAGAGTCCTGTTCACTTCATACTTGTTATTTTTTTTTTTTTAATTTTTTATTGTTGGCTGTTCAAAACATTACATAGTTCTTGATATATCATATTTCACAATTTGATTCAAGTGGGTTATGAGCTCCCATTTTTACCCCTATATAGATTGCAGAATCACATCAGTTACACATCCATTGATTTACATATTGCCATACTAGTGTCTGTTGTATTCATACTTGTTATTTTATGTTAGATAAATTATGACCATTTGGAATTTGATTTTTCATCAATAAAATTTAAAGTTAGATTACCAGGCTCTTCTGCAGTTTAGCCTACTATGGTGGGAATCTTAAGACACATTCTCAAGGAATGAAAGTTGATGTAATTAAAGTAATTAGTTGTATCACCAGTCATTATGGCCAAGAGTTAGCTATTTAAATAAAAGCAGAAAATACAAGTAATTGGTGGGTCTAATTTTATGACAATGGAGAGATGCAGATTCAAGTATTTGGCCTTGTCTGCATATATAGATGGTTAAAAAAAAAGGCACATCGTATTGCTTAAGTTTTGATTTTTATTGTTAGGTATGTATGTATTTGATAGTTGTAGTATATAAAGTATACTTATTACAAATGGATTAGTACTGTTTACATATCTGTTTAATGAAATGCATGTGCTTATTCAACACACTCAGGAAGAATTCTGCCACCACTTCAGGTCTACCTTTTCATTGATGCAGCCAGTTTCTTGGGAGGAAGCTGATGCAAAAGCTTTCAAAGTAACCATTTGCATGTGATATTCTTACAAAGCAACATTGTGTTAATTTGTCTCTTTTTGGGATTTTCTTAACATTATAGTGGAATGTTTGTTTGTTTATACTAGGTACAATCTGAATTCATTAAAACAGAGCTGTCATCCGGTGTGGTGGTGCACGTCTCTAATCTCAGACTCAGGAGGCTGAGGCAGGAGGATCACAAGTTCAAAGCCAGCCTCAGAAACTTAGCAAGGCCCTAAGTAACTTAGTGAGATCCTGTCTCTAAACAAAAAAAATACAAAGGGCTGGGGATGAGGTTCAGTGGTGAAGTGCCCTTTGCGCCAATCCCTTGAGGCAGGAAGGGGAAGAGAAGATATCCATTCATTTACCTTAGCAATAGCAATAACTAATTACCAGCTTTGTTGGTTTGGTTTGGTTTGGTTTTCTATTTCTTGAACATTATCATGAAGCTTCTTTACTATTGCAGCTTAGTGTAACAGAAAGATCATTAAACTCAAAGTCTGATAACCTGGGCCTTCCTCCCCTCCTTTCCAGTGCTGGGGATCCATACCGAGGCCTTGCCCCTAAGCTCAGCAAATGCTCTCCCACTGAGTATACACTCAAATGACCGTTTAATTCATTGCATGTCCTTTTGCCTGTTGGACATAATCATCAGTATTCCACCTTCGTCAAGGATTATTATAAGTATAAAATGAAATGAGAAAGTGCTTTAAAAAAGTAAAAATAACATTCAAATGCAAGGTATTAAATAAAAAAGTTTTTTATTTCTATAGTTTAAAGAGATTAATTTTTTTTTAAATCTTAAAATTGTGCTGAAATGCTTAGGTGCTATTTAGATAGAATTTCTTTACCTTGTAAGGAGTGTTTGTGGGACAGATGGCAAGATGTCTCTTCTTCTTGCCTCATTCCTTTAATTGTTCTTTTGTAGTTGTTTTCACTTTTTCCAGATGAATGTCCTTATTTCTGTCTCTCCCTTCCTACCACCCAGTGCACATTTACCCACTTTTTTTTTTTTTTTTTTTGAAGGGAGCTACCATTAAGAAGGATGAGCAGACCGGGGCGATTGTTGTGGCTAGAATCATGAGAGGAGGAGCTGCAGATAGGAGTGGTGAGAGTCTAAATGTTCACTGAATATAGACAGGTGACATTGTATTTTATGACATCCCCAGTATATAACTTAAAAGATGACAGTCTTTTAACATAATATGGGAACCTCCATAAATAAATGATGAATTTAACTCTGTGGTCTGTAGTGTGCACAGGCTTTCAAAGTTATTTTAAGACCTGTTGCAATATTTCTGATTTGCAAAATACCATTAAGAGCATGCAGCTTTTTAAATAAATAAATATTATTTTATGAGATGTCAATAATGTTTGTTTCTAGACAAAGACCAAGATACTGTTATCATTTTTACCAGCATTATTATGCTATATTCTTTGACTCATTGCCATAGAGGCACAGAATCTGAAACTTGAGAAGTTATCTCCTTTCCAATTCTTTAAATATGCTAAAGGAGCTAATGATGATTTGATTATGGAAACAATTGAAAATTTCAGTTTCTTTTGTGGGTTACATTGCCTATTTTGTCTTTGTCAGGTCTTATTCATGTTGGTGATGAACTTAGGGAAGTGAATGGAATACCAGTGGAGGATAAACGGCCTGAGGAGATAATACAGATTCTGGTAAGCTGTAAATTTAATTTAAAATAACAATGAAAATCAAATCAACTCACTAAATTTCAGGTTTTTCAGACATTGTTTGAAATATACAGGATTTGGATTTACTAATCCAAGTCCCTGTGTATCTTTGAAAAATATTTTAATTACTTTGTACCTCGGTGTTTTCATTTGCAAAATGAGAATGAGAAGAGGTAAGTATCTCACATGTTTTAAGGGTTAAATTAGGTAATGTATATAAAGAGTTTAGAGAAAGGACATGGTCTCTCCCAAAGTGGGTATAATCAGTCAATGAGTGGTATCTACACTGGTAGAGGGGATGCATCCTCATTGTCCTCCTCTTGAGACAGCCATCCTGTAGGCTGTGAATTCTAGTATGTAAGTCATAAGTCCTGAAACTGATTTAGAAGTCTTTTGAAATCCAAAACTTGAAGGCAATTGTTTTAGGCCTGCACGCTGTTAATTCTTATGTTTGAGGAAACTCCATAAAAGAAATGATAAATATTAAGGAGATATACTTAACTTGATTTGAACATTACACAATACATACATGTATTGAAATATTACATGGTACCTCATAAACATGTACAACCTTTATATTTTTATAGATCAGTTGAGAAAATGAATTTAAATTTTAAAAGGAGAGAATTTTATAGGAGCACATAGAAATAATGACAGAGTACATGACAAGACCTCAAAGGGAGATTGTTGTTTCAACCAGGAAAATTCTAGAGACATGTGCCTCATCCATCAGTTCCCCCTCTCATCCATGTGCTTGCACATTGAGTTTAATCTGGAGCTGAGCCTTACCATCACCTTCATCATGCAGGGGCAGAAAATGAAAGCATTTTTAAATCAGAAAAAAAATAAGGATAATCTCTACTTTACACTACATAGAAAAATAAATTCCCAATACGTTGAGTATTTAAGTGCCAAGCATCACAGAAATTATACAATAAAATACATGTAATTTTTGTAATTGTAAGGTACAGGAAGACTTTTTAACCTTGATTCAAATAGAAAAATAACAGCTATTTCTACTAAACTCAAAATTTTCTGTACAAAAAAAAAGACACCATATTATAAACAAGAGGCAAGTGAGATTATAGGGAAATATTTGCAATATATATTATAAAAAGATCGCATTTTTAACATGTATTGAAACCATAAAAATCATTAAGAAAATATTATAAAAATCAGGGATATTTATATGTACAATTTACAAAAAAAGATATTTTTGAAAAACACTGGATTTCATTGGACTTAAAAGCTTGCTAATGCACAGAGTTGGCCAGAGTATGGAGAAATAGCTATTTATGTGCTTCTAGGGATGGGGTAAATTAATAGGGTTTTTGAGATGGCCCTTTAAAACCACCAAAATTTTAAATGTGCATATCCTTTATTTAGAGATTCAACTGTTAGAAATTAATCCTCCAGAAATAACTTGGCAAATGTATAAAAAATTGTTTTAAATATTGGAAACTTCAAAGAAGATTGCAATCATTTAGATGATGATTTACTGGGAAATAATCACAATGGCTGATAGACCTATGTGACTTAAAAATAATAGTACTAATAATAACTGCTAACAGTAACTGATCCCTTAATAAATGACACTGTTCTGAGGGATTTCCCTCCATTTTGGAAAATACACATAAGGTGAGAGTGGTGGCAAATGCCTATAATCCAGCCAACAGGGAGACTGGGGCAGGAGGATCACATGTTTGAGGCCAGCCTCAGCAGCTTAGTGAGGCTCTAAGAAATTTAGTGAGACCCTGTCTCAGAAAATGAAAATGGCTGAGAATATGGCTCCGTAGTTAAGTGCCCCTGGGTTCAATTCCTGGCACCAAAATAAATAAATAAATAAATAAAATATACACATAAAAACTGGAAAAGTGTGGGTGGATTATAAAGAAGATCTTGCTTTCTCTTTACTTGTGTAATTCAGTATTAGACTGAGTTCTTAGTAAGATTTGTTAATTATTTTTGTGAAATATAAAAACAGTAATGCCATTTTAAAATAAATCACTCCTTTATAAATTGTGTTACTAACTGTGTTGGGCTGAAACTGACACCACTATAGCTTGTTAGAGCTGACTCTGTGACATTTTCCAACCCAACTTTTAGAAACTGCCAGTAAGTTGAAATTGGCTAAGGTGGGAGCATTTATACCCTGGAAACTGGCTGACAGCACCATCAGCCCCGCCCCATTTCAGAGTCTTGGTTTACCAGCGCATCACTGATAGTTGCTTGGAGATGTCTTCCTCCTCTCTTCTCTCCCTCTTTGCCTCCTTTCCTCTCTGCCTGTCTTGTTTTCTTTTCTTTTCTCTTTTTTTTTAAAGAGAGAGAGAATTTTTTAATATTTATTTTTTAGTTTTCGGCGGACACAACATCTTTATTTGTATGTGGTACTGAGGATCGAACTCAGGCCGCACACATGCCAGGCAAGCACGCTACCGCTTGAGCCAAATCCCCAGCCCCTGTCTTGTTTTCTTATTCTTTCTTCCCTCTTTTTCTCCCCTCTTCATCTCTTTTAAATATATGCCAGGTATTTAGTGCTTTTATGGAGCTTTAAATTAAGCAGGAGTAACAGATATTATGAAATAATTGCATAAATAATTATGGCTGTGATCAGTGCTCAAAAGAGAGAGGCAAACAGAATATGAGAGTGTGTTTGAAGAGGGGCCTATCCTCGTCTGAGTCAAGGAAGATTGGTGATGCCTGTTTTGATTAAACTTAGAATAGACACACTCTCTCTTTTCATCTCTTAATGAATCTATTGTATTTGGTAATTTACAAACCAGAACACAATATATTTGAATGTTCCTTATTTTTTCTGATGGTCACCGCTGCTAAATGAATCATGTGTCTATAACCGTAGTACTGACAGTAGAAGTATTTTGTCTCAAAACACATAGATGCCAGTATGTAAAATGTAATAGCCTGAACTTTGCACATTATATTTTGCGTTTCTATTTTGAAGTAGCTTGACATGGATGATAATATTGAGGGATAACTTAGAAGTACACAGAAAGTAAAAGTGGATTTGGTGGTTAATGTTTTTTAACTTACTTGACAAACTTTAGAGCTTTCTCATATTACCGGAATTTCTACAAAAATAGTTTCCTCAGTTTGGTCTAAGAGCAGTAATCCCAAGCTTGTAAATTTTTAGATGCATTTAGCTTTCTACCTATTTTATCTTATTTTTCCTTGGCAAGAGTTTTCTTATGACTCTTTCTTTCACCCAATATCAGGGTCAGTCTCAGGGAGCAATTACATTTAAGATTATACCCAGCATCAAAGAAGAGACACCCTCCAAAGAAGGCAAGGTAATCGTTTCTTAAAAATATTTTTGCATGTGGGAAGTAATTTTTTTTCTTTTAATACATATCTACTTTTTCACCACAAGTTTATTTTCATATTCTAGTCGTTTGGATCATTATTTCTTAAATATACATTGCAAGAATGTAGGCCATTTCACATTTATTTTTTATATTTATTCTTCTTCAATGAAACTTTCCTCCAGATGTTTATCAAAGCCCTTTTTGACTACGATCCTAATGAGGATAAGGCAATTCCATGTAAGGAAGCTGGGCTTTCTTTCAAAAAGGGAGATATTCTTCAGATTATGAGCCAAGATGATGCAACGTGGTGGCAAGCAAGGCATGAAGGTGATGCCAACCCCAGAGCTGGCTTGATTCCCTCAAAGCATTTCCAGGAAAGGTGAGCTCCTGGCATGGAATGGTGGCCTTTCTTCAACTGACCTTTTGTTCTCTGAAAAATTTCATTCCATCATAGTTGTGATAAAATAAGCTCTAAAACCCTGCCTTAGAATTCATTATCCCTTGGGTTTGGATTTCTGTTTTGTCTAAGTAAGTATGAATAATGACCAAAAATAATATGACAGTACCAGGTCATCTTAAGTTTTTGTTACAAAGCAAATGGAAAACAGCGCATTAATATCTGATAGTGTTGTGGTGAAAGGTAGAGAAAAATAGTTGTTTCAGGATCAGGGCAAATAATTAGAAAAATTTTAAAGTAGAAGGTTTGTTTTATAACTGGAGAAAATTGCATCATGTTTTTCCCCACCTAACTTGTAAGGTTGGGTTTTCTTTTCTTTCTTTTTTTCTTTTAAGGATTTTTAATATTTTGCTACTACATTAACCTCAGACATATGCTGAAAATTGATAGGCATATTGACCTTTTATTCCTCCAGGAGATTGGCTCTGAGACGACCAGAAATACTAGTTCAGCCCCTGAAAGTTTCCAACAGGAAATCATGTAAGTTTGTTAATAAGAATGCAGAGTAACTAAATCCTGCTGTTTATTTTTGACTATTAAAGCAGGTGCTCATGGAAGAAAACAGAATCATATTATCTTGCAATAGCTTTTGGATTATCATTTTTCAGGAACCAAAGACGTAAGAAATTCACAGTAGGAATATTAATGTGAATCTTGGGAAGAAAAGTGTGGTTGGAGATGTTTATAATAAACCCATGACTCACTCTTTAAGAAAATAACTCAAAACTACTGCTCTCTTTGATATCCAAAGTTAACTATTTTTGTAAATGTAACCTAGACTACAACTATTCTTTCTCCAAATTCAGGAGATTTGGGTAGGATATTTCCAGATAAAGATTAATGCAAAAATCCCACCATTTTCTTGGGCACAAAAGCATTTGTGCCTAAGAATAATTATGGATCATAATTCCTTTCTTATCCACAGATTATATCCACAAATTATAAATCATTAAAACTCTGACCTTTGTTTCATATGATTGGATTTTATCACCAGACTAGATTCCAAGAAAATGAGAGTAAGGAAAAGAATGATGTACAGCTTCTGAAAAACACTGTTTGTTTGTTTTTCTTTCATCTTACCCTTCTCTCAGCTTTTCTTTACTTCCCACATCATGTCCTCTCGAATCTCCAGTTCATAAATTTCAGTTTAATCTCCCTAAATATTTCATGGTTCTGGTTTTCTTTTAATAGTTAAAAAAAGGTCCCTTGTTTTAAGCATAGAAATTGTACATTAAAAAGTGAAATGCCCTGGAATTTTACACCAACATCTGTTTTTAGTATTGTTGCATTTTTCACATCTCCTGTTTTTTCTGTCAGTTTGTAGATTCTTAGAGCCCAGGAATCACATAGTAAGGGAGCCAGACTACAGTTGAGTATAAATCCCATAGCAAGCAAATACTTTAAGTAGAATACTGATTCAAAAGCCTGCTTGTTCTTGCTACATTTTTTCAGTGCAGAAGGAAAAAAATTGTCATAATACGTGTGGCATCCTAAGACATCAGATTCCTTAAAATTTAATGGTGCGTTATTTCTAAGCATGGCGACTTTTCATTAGCAACTCCCTGCTGAAAGGAACGTTGAGACATTCACCTGACTGGCTCTTTCAGGGAGCATTAAATCAGAGTTGTACCCACATTTAATGGATAAACATGCATCACTGAAAAAATGAGGGAAATATGACTACTTAAAGCCGAATGCAGACTCAAGTTTGTTTGAATCATAAGACAACTTAGAAATTTATGATTTATTATAATTTTGAATTTTTGTTTATTTAAATTTTAAATCAATTATATTTCCTTGCAAAACTATATACACAAAGGTGATTGGCTTTTCAGTAGCTCTCCCACACTGAATTTGGTATAGATGTGTGTGAATTTGAATGTGAGAAGAGTGTGTGTATATGCGTGTATGTAGACAGCATTAATTGTAATAAAAGGTTTTTCATCTATTGATTTGCACAGTTTTTTTGATGTTAACTCTTCAGTGTTTAGATCTGAGAAGTATTCTTTTTTTTTTTTGGCTTTTTTTTTTTTTCTTTTGGCTTCTTGAATGCCATTTAGAAATGTTTCTTGATCTTCTGTTTTCTTACTTCCCCCACTTCTCTCTTTTTTTTTAAAGTAAAAGATGTATTCACTAAAAGATTCACTAAAAGATGTATTATTTGTTCTCATATCTAGGTGTTATTTATTTTTAAGTAAAGCTAGCCAAGGATTATCCAAATAAATCTTCAGGCTATGGTAAATATGGCCTTGACTAGACACAGTATGTTTATGTGAAAATTATAGAAGGCTAGTGTCTTTATTCTGAAAGAAATGAAATTCTGTTTGATCTTTGAATATTGTTTTATAAACTTTAAGTCTGTTCATAAGTCATTGTGTTGGTTCTGAACATTCTTAGTGGAATTTAAAAGCATTTTAACCTGTGGATTTGGTAGTGATTCTTTAAATATAGCTGTATCATTTAAAGGTCATCTGACTCACTGCTTCTTAGAGTCAACATTTGGTACTTAGATTTTTGGAATAGGAAGTTCATGTTATCATGCCCTTTGCTAAATTATAATCTATAAAATAATTTTTATGATTTTGAATATTCATGAAAACTTTAAGAAAAGTTTCTGACAGTGCTAAATAAAATGTTAAATTTCTGAAAGAATAATTCTTTCATGTTGGTGTTACAACTTTATGAAAAACTTATAGTGATGAAAATTTTCCGTACTTACTTTTACAAGTGCCTTTAAATGCCAGGAAGATATTATAAGCATTGGGTCTGGAATAATGAACTTAGTCATCTAGTAATATGTGTTAAATTGGTTAATTTTTGTTCCTGGGTGATTGTTTATATTGCTATGATCTTACTCTATATTTAATTCTTAAGTATATCACCATACTGAAGTTTTCCGTGGAGAAAAAGTTCATGGAAGATGACTCTGGAAATGTAGAGGTTCAATTAATATCAACATAGAAAGCAAAAAGGAATGGCAAATTCTAATCTTGTTATCTTTGCAGTTATATTTGTGCTAGAGCTCTGGTTCCTGACTCTAAGGTAAATAAAGTCAGGAGATATGATAATAAGAACCTCTTTAGGCTTTGAAATTAGCATCCTTATGCAAAACTCACAATGTAGGTGGCATTCGTCTTTGTAGCTTGGTTTTTATCTCCTCTTAAGAATCTTGGCCTATCTACTACATATCCAAAAACTAGGCTTCCCAAACAAAATAATTTGCTTCCTAAAATTAAACATCCCTAAAATCGAAAAAATTGACTTTTTTTTAAAGATAACAGAGACAAAACAATATAATTTTATTCTTGGTGAATGAAATAAATAACCTCTACTCTAATAAAGTTTATAGTTTTTTAATATTGGACCCAAGCCAACCTTTACTCAGGCCACCATTTCCCCTACCTTCTTTCTTTCTTTCTTTTTTATCTTTTATTTATTTTATTTTTTTAAATACACGACAGCAGTGGAATGCATTACAATCCTTATTACACATATAAAGCACAGTTTTTCATATCTCTGTATATAAAGTATGTTCATGCCAATTTATACCTTTATACATGTACTTTGTTTTTTTTGCATTACAATTCTTAATACACATATATACCACAATTTTTCATATCTCTGTATATAAAGTAGGTTGACACGCAATTCGGGTCTTCAAACATGTACTTTGTATAATGACGTCCATCACATTCTACCATCCTTGCTAATCCCCTGCCTACTTCCTTTCCCTCCCACCCCTCTTCCTATCTAGAATTCATCTATTCCTCCCATGCTCCCCCTCCCTACCCCTCTATGAGTCAACCTCCTTATATCGGCATTTGTTTTTTTGGGATTGGGACTCTTAAAATGAAAATATTCTTAAATCTTAGAAGCTTAATATGGGGACTCGTCTCCTTTCTTCCCCCTTTCTGCTTTTTGGAAGAATTGCCTTTGTAACAACAACAACAACAAAAATTTTTAGAAGAACTTTATTTTCCTTCCTCCCATCATCTAATGATAGGCTTCCACCTAATATATTTGTATCAGTAACAGAGACAAAAGAGCAGACCTAGATGTCTGATAGACTTTCTTTGATATGATGAATTTTGGTTTATTACATAAAAGAGGGAGTTTAAGTGTTCTGAAAATAAGTATAGGTGAATATTATGTCTCAAGTCACATACAGGAGTAGTTTTTTATAATGGAAAATTGTTGGTAGCTTACATTTCTGTTTCAAAATACTTTAAAGTAATTACTTTAGTAGTTTTGCATTTATATAGCATATGATATCACCTGACCTAAAAGAAATGTGAATTTATTTGAAATATTGTTTGTTCCTCTTCTATTGAAATCTAAATGTGTGTGTTAAGAATTGTCTTCCTAATTAATTACATTAATGCTGACTTCAATAGGATATAATTTGTATTTAAATGAAGTGTAAATGATATTCAGGAAGGATGGAGAAATAGCTCTTTGTTGTATAGTATATATTACAGCAGAAATTCAAGTATGATTTTTATTTTCAGTGCTTTTATTTCCTTTTTTAGTTATCAAAGTATAAATACCTGAACATTTCTAATATGACAATTTAAATAATACTAATTTGAAATATTTTAAAAAGTATCTCATAAAATTTGTCATAAAAGAAATGAGAGTAGTTTTTGACATTTTAAAGCTTAGAACTTAAAACCAAAATTTTATAATTTGTTTCACTAATTTTAATTGTTTATGTGGATAAAAAGAAAATATTTAAGGGCAGACACAGGGTGTCCATTCAAACAAGGTGTTACCTGCTTCTTTCAAGACAAGCACACTGTGGAATGCAGATCACTTTAACCAGGGAAAGTTAAGCACTGAAATAATGAATTCCCTGTACATGGTCCCAATATCTTAGAAGGCCACATATGTAAGAAATATATGACAGGAACTCTACAGGTTGTTTTAATAAAGCTTTTCAAGTTGAGTACATTCCTCCTGGCATACTCAATAATGTTTATTCAGTGTTTTCACACATAGAGTTAATTCAGAAACAAATAGATTGCTTATGTTGTGAAAATTAGGTTTGTATGTGTAAACACTGTCAAACATTTTCTTAATGGGATTTTCAGTAAACAGAAACACATGGAGTTTTAAAAAATTTTCTAAAAGTATTTTTCTGTATGGATTAGTCAGCTTTCTGTTATCTTAGCAAATGCCTGAGATAATCAACTTATAAAAGAACAGGTTTACTTTAGCTCGAAACTTTGAAGATCTCAGCCCGTGAATGACTGGGCTTTGCTGTTTTTGAGCCTGTGACTAGGCAGCGCACTGGGGTGAGAGCATACAGTGGAGCAGAGCTTCTCCCTTGGGTCCCACAGTCCCTTTCGAAACCACGCCCTCTGAGACTGGAAGACCTCTCACTAGGCACCCTCTCCTAAAAAATTCTACCACTTGCTAATAGTGCCAAACTGATGACCATGCCTCTATCCAAAACATGGAAATGTGGGAGACGTTCCAGA